GTCCACTCCAGACGCTGTTTGCCTAGGTATCAGCAGCGCAGGCTGCAGAAGATAGAATATTGCTGAACAGCAAGTGTAGATGTCTGATTCTTGCTCTGGAAACTTTGTCTCAGAGGTGTACCCAGCCGTGTGAGGTGTGAGGTATCAGTCTGCACCTAATGGAGGATGTATCCCAGTTAGACTACTCAGGGATCAGGGACCCACTTGAGCAGGCAGTCTGTCCGTTCTCAGATCTCAACCTCCGTCCTGGGAGAATCACTGCTCTCTTCACAGCTCTCAGACAGTAACATTTACATCTGTAGAGGTTTCTGTTGCTTTTTGTTTAGCTATGCCCTGTCCCTAGAGGTGGAGTCTACAGAGACAGGCAGGCCTCCTTGAGCTGCAGTGGGCTCCACCTAGTTTGAGCTTCCCAGGGTCTCTGTTTACCTACTTAAGCCTCAGCAATGGCGGGCACCCCTCCCCCAGCCTCGCTGCCACCTTGCAGTTAGATCTCAGACTGCTGTGCTAGCAATGAGGGAGGCTCCGTGGGCGTGGGACCCTCTGGGCCAGGTGTGGGATATAATCTCCTGGTGTGCCGTTAGCTAAGACCCTTGGTAAAGCACAGTATTAGGGTGGAAGTTACCTGATTTTCCAGGTGTTGTGTGCCTCAGTTTCCCTTGATTAGGAAAAGGAATTCCCTTCCCCCTTGCACTTCCCAGGTGAGGCGATGCCTCACCTTGCTTTAGCTCTCGCTGGTTGGGCTACACCCACTGACCAGCACTGACTGTCCGACATGCCCCAGTGAGATGAACCCTGTACCTCGGTTGAAAATGCAGAAATCACCCATCTTCTGTGTCGCTCACGCTCGGAGCTGGAGGCTGGAGCTGTTCCTGTTTGGCCATCTTGGGCGCCCCCATTCACGTTCTTTTTTGATATACCATTGGCACTGTAAATCCAACAAATTCAGACAACAGTGTTTGTGATTTCCCCAAATGTATTCTTCAGTATTTTCATAATAATATTACCATTATCCTAGTCATCTACATTGAAAACTTAATAATTATTTTATCTCAAATTCTCTATATCAGCTCTTAAATTCAGATTATCATCTAGTCTTAGCATCTTTTCTTTGTAACATCTCTTATTTTTTATTCCCTATTTGAAATACTCATTTAGACGCCTAATATTTCTCTTGTGGAAAGGCATGTAACAACAATCTCCTACAATTTCCTCTTGCTCAAAACTGACAAATTACTCTTCTAAAACACTGATTTATTGAATGAAGTCTTTCATTGGCTTTCTCAAACTTTAAACTCTAATTTCCTTAGTGTAGCTCAGACTTCCTTCTACTGTTCCTCCACCAAAGGTAAATTAGTACATCTCATGGGCTATATGCAGATTCCATATAATTTAGATTGATTCAAAGATAATTTACTCTGTGATTTTTTTGACAAGGCATAATTTGGGATGCAGATGTAATACCTAAATATGTACTCTGTGAAATATCTTACTGAAAAATCTTATTCATATTATAAGTTTATGGTGACTAAAGAGTCTTAGTGTACAAACACTATCACAGAAAATCATGTGTAAGAAGTTGTAATAATCTAGTCTTCATAGTGACATGGGTCTACTTATGTAAAAATCAGTTTTCTCTTTAAGTTCATATCCCAATGAATATGAAGTATTTCTGAGAAGTGTACATATTTTGTTGGATCCTCATTTCCAATAAATACAGAATATAGAATGAGAATATTAAAGAGGCTTTAAATTTTGTAAAAATTTGGGAAAAGAAATTTTCTGCAATTGTTTTGTACAGAATTGGTTTGAAAGTTTCAGAAAGTTCTGTACAATGGAATAGCAATCTTGTCATTTGGATAAATTTTAGTTAAAGGTTATGATAGCTAGAACCCAGTGGCTTTGTACTATCCCCAAGTTACCACATCTCTTTTCACTAGTTGTTGATTTTCTCTCCTTGGGAGATTGAGGATTTGTTCTTCTATAATTCAGCACACATTTACTTAGAGCAGAGAATATTTACACGCACACAAATACTTTTGGGGACCATATTTATTTTCAGAATGAGTGTAATTTCTTTAAAGGTAAAGGAATCAGGAGTGGAGTGAAGGGTTGATACAGAAACTGTGTTTTTTGTAAAGCTGAACCCATGGCCAGGGCAGCCAATCACCTCTGTACAACCAACACCTTATGAGGAAAATCATGGGGAGGGGAATATATAGAGGGCCATGACTGGTCAATAAAGATTTTTCTATTAAAATGCATTAGGGAACTTTGGGGAGTATTTACTTATAGAACCATTGGAAGGGATATAATTTTCAATCCAAAACACTGCTTTTTACCAGATATATATATATGCACACACACATATATATATATTTAAAACCTCTATATATATTTAACCTGAAATATATATATTTATATATGTATTTAAAACCCAAAAATATGTATATATTTAAAACCCCCAAAATAGAAATCACTGGCATAAACCAAAACAAGTGTGTAAATTTTATTCTAAAGAGCATAAAATAAGCGTTTGCTTTTCTAATCTAAAACACTTCATTATAATCACTTATGTTCATAATGATGATCCTGACCTTGAGAACTGCCAAATTCACAAACATACTCTAATCTAAATTAGCAAAGAGAGATTACATAGTTATCTATTACATATTTAGCCATAGGTTTACTCTATTTTTTTACAATTTTCAAAAAAGTTAATTTGTAACTTTTTTCTAATTAGCATTAAATAATTAGCATTAAGTAATTTGGAATGCACATATAACTAGAACATTTCACTTCCAAGTCAATTTAAATATGTTTATGTTTCTAATAGTTTATATTTCTAGTATTCATTTTATTATCTTAATGTAAAATTTCTATATGAGGAGATAAAGTTTTCTATCTCAAGTATTTCTAGTCCTTGTGTAGACACATCAGGCCTCTTTTGGTCATTTGCTCTCTTTTGGAAAGAAGCTATGTGCTCAGAGCCCTCTATACCTGCGTCTCACTTTCCATCTCAGTTTGCATCCAGCCTGACATTTTCTGATGAACCAAAAGCACCTTCTAAACTAAGTGATAAAACTAAAATTTGATTTTTTACAAAATAACATTTGTTAGAATCTTGTAAAGACATTTGGAAATAATATAATGTGGAAGTTATTAACAACATCAACGTGATCCCTAAACCAGATGTTACTTTCATTAAAATGTTCACTTTTCTCACATTTGTTTTGGTTTCTCCTTTTAGGAATGGCAAAACTCTATTCAGAAGAATGCAGGACTTGCATTTATTGAGCTCATCAATGAAGGAAGGTAATTAATTTTACAATTTTGAACAACTAGTCAGTGTACATTTTATTCCACTGGGCAATTGCTCTTTCCTACCATCTGTTCCAAAAATGTGGAAGAAAATATCTTTTAGTTAACTAATTTATCACACAGGTATTTAATTAAACTTTAACAAAGTTTAAAATGCTAAACATTTATTTTTGAAGAAAAAGCCACGCATGAAATAAAGGGACAAACTTTATAAGGTTTGGTGAGATTTGAAGTACATTTTACTGAGTAGTAAAGTTGTTTTACACAGATCAAGTGAACCCAATCTGCAATCCCATCTGCCACTCCATCTGTTTTCAGAGCAGTGCTCAGTGTTTACCCCTTCAGCCTCTCCTCAGTCCATGTGAAACAGTTTTATCTGAATATGTCACTCATTCAATATCCGACTGAAAATGTGAGGGATATTAAATATAGCAAATATATCTCTCTCGGGTAGAAATGTATATATTCTATTATTAAAACAATAAGTAAAATTACATTTGAACGCATTATTATATTTACCATTTTGTGGTAAATAGTTGTTAATTATTATTTTTGCAGTGCTTTATTGGCAGTGGACACATTAAAATAGATTTAGCTGTCACCATGTGACATGTATAGCTTCTATCAACTCAAGACCTGCAAACTTTACAGCTTGAATTTCTTGTATGATACGCTGCATTCTTTGGAATATGATGATTATTTGGCATGACCTATTTATTTCATATTTGAAACCAGCTTTAGATTAATGAGGAAATAATACTTACTGTATATAAAATTTATCTTTTTCAAGAAAGGGAGTTGTGAAAGAATAGTCCTTGAAAATTAGTTCCTATATGTTATAGATACCCAAGTTTTAAAAATTAAATATCACTTAGTATTATTCATTTTTTCCATCACTGTATTATATTTTGAGAAATATCTTCTGTTTTTATAACAATTTATCTTATTTTATATTTCTCGTTTTGATATTTTGTGACCTAATCATGTTAGCCAGTAGTACCAATCTAAAATTTAAAATAGGCTTTGCATTCACTGCAACATCAAAGATGCAGGAAAATATCAGTTTTCTTTTATAACACAAATAGTATTTTACATAACAGCACTTGCTATGTCTTACAGAGTTTTATTGTGATAAGAGTTGCTAATAATTATTACCTGTTTTCAGGTGATGAATAAATAGAAAAAAAACTATTCATTGTTTTTTCAGTTTTAGTAATAGCTCTCAATGACATATCCACAATTATTTTATTTCAACTGTGAAATAAAAATATATATATGTAATTATTATTATTATCAGTAACTCTCCTAAGAGTTACCAGAATTGAACCTCTAAGCACTTAAATAAAGATTGTAGTAATAGGCTTAGAAAAGGAAGAGGGTGGAAAATTTGCTAATATCAGAGATTTTAAGCTTCTGATAATGCTTTTATCAGTCAGTGGTAGAATTTGGGATTTATATTAGGAAAGGTTGGAAATAAAATAGTCACAATTTTTTTAAAAAATTTCAATCTAGGCTGGGCACAGTGGCGCACATCTGTAATCCCAACACTTTGGGAGGCCAGGTGGGGTGGATCACCTGAGGTCAGGAGTTCAAGACCAGTCTGGCCAACATGGTGAAACCCCAACTCTACTAAAAATACAAAAATTAGCCAGGCGTGGTGGCAGGTGCCTGTAATCCCAACTACTCAGGAGGCTGAGGCAGGAGAATCGCTTGAGCCCGGGAGGTGGAGGTTGCAGTGAGCCGAGATCATGCCATTGCACTCCAGCCTGGGCGACGAGAGCGAGACTTCATTCCTCTTCCCCCACGAAAAAAAATTAAACATGTAATAATCTCTGAAATTCTGTCCATTATGTTCTCTGTGCTCTCGTAAATTTCTGTTCCTATTCTTCATAGGACTCGTTCTTCCAAATGAAAATGATTTTGGAATAAGGATTCAAACATGAATAGTTGTAAATATGTAAGAACAAATCATGTATGCATGAGTGCAGCAAATGTCTGTTCAGCCCTCATTACATGTCAAATACTATTATAAGAGTTAGGAATAGAGTTAGGAATAAGATATAAATGGTTCCAGTTTCTTGGGGAAAGGCAAACGTTAGATGAACACATACAATAATACAAGGATACTGTGATAAAAGTGGTGTAGGTAATGATGCAATCGTACCGCAGAATACTTTACCTAGTCTGGAGGGATGCATTCCACTGAGTGCTGGGATTGTCAAGGTTTTCGAAAGAGTACTTACCCAAAGGGAACGCCATTTGAGAGATCATCAGGAGATAGCCAAGTAGAAAAAAAGTAGAATTACGATTCTTGGCAGAGGGAATTGTATAGTGCAGAGGACTAGGGGCAAGAGAATAGTGAGACATGTAGCTGGAAAGCTATTTTCAGTCAGCCAGCAGCTATTTAAATGCATGTTGTATGCCAGCCACATGAAGGCACATGTCATTAGCAAAGATCATGCCATGAAGCCATGCAAAGGATACTGGAGAATAATTGAAAATGTTTAGGTGTAGCCTGCAATGTGGAGAGTTTCACAGGCTCAAGACTTGAAGCAATACCAACCTAAGGTTCAGTAATCTTGTTGAAGAAGACGGTGCCATGGACTAATAGTGGCTGTGAGGATGGAAGAAGTGAACAAATTTGAAGTATCTTTTGGAAGTTAAGTCACTATGATTGCTAATATATTGGATGGAAGAGGGGAAAGAAGGAATCAAGGATATTTTGATGTCAGCTTTAGTAACTGACAGTTTACAGTATAAGTATAGTTCACTTAGCTAGGAGAGTACAGAAAGTGAGGTTTGAGTTGAGAATTTTTCACTTTTGGGTTACACTGAACTTGTGGTACTGGTGAAATATCCAGGTGGAGATGTTGAATAGGCATGGGCATTTGAGTACTGAGCTCTCCAAAGAGAGAGCTGGCATGGAGATTTAGGCTTATGAGTCTCCAGGTTACTCGTGGTAAACTGTAGAAAGGATACAGATGTGATGCCCAGGGAGAGTGAATAGAGGGAGTGGAGAACCAGGGGCCCCGCTTCTACTCCTGTTTCTGCTGGGAATCCCCTTCTCCCACATCTTGACATGATTGGTTGTTTCTCATATTTGAGGAATCAGCTTAAATGCTACCCTGTCACAGAGGCTCCCCTGACTATCTTACATAGTTGTTACACTCCCATGACATAATCCTGTTTTAACACATAATAACATCATCTCAAATGATCTGCTGTGTTTGCTTGTTTACATCTATTTCTTCTGCTAAAATGTGTTTCCTTAAGATCTTGTGTCTTATTCATCATCTTATTTGTTGCCATATCTCTATATTCTGGAATAGTGCCTAGTATGTAGTTAGCATGCTAATGAAATATTTGTTTATTTGCCACGTTAAATTAATATTTATTGAAAGCATAAAGAAAAGAATGGTGAGTAGAGTGTTTAAGGAAGAATGTATGATCAAAAAGAGGATTTTTAAGTTAGTGTTAAAGGGACCACTGGGTTCAGCCAAAAGGAGGTCATGGTGATCTCATCCAGACTTAATACTGGTGAGCACCTGTGTGCTGAAGAAGCTGGATATAGATCCAAGTCCTACCCTATTAGAGCTTACAGTCTAGTGGGGGCAACAGCCTTTGATTAAGTAATTGCAAGTTTAATAAATATGTAAAGGGCAATTAGAGGGTGCTGTGGGAGCAGGTAACTGAGAGAGGTATTTTTTGAAAAAGTGGTGATTTACTGAGAGTAGAGGGACAGAAGCCAGGTTGCTTTGAGTTGAAGAGCTAGCCCAAAATGAAATACAGGCAGCAAGTACTTTTCTAAAGAAGTTTGGCCAAGAAGGGGAAAGACAGAGTGGTTGATGTAGGTAGATAAGGTTTAAATTTGGAGAGAGGGGTTACTTTTTAGAAAGAAGAACCTGAGTATTTTTCAGTGTTGATGGAAAAAGGCAATAAGGTGGGAGGGAAAGAAGGCAATATTGACAGCATAAACTCTCTGAGAGGGGTGCACTGAGATAGAAGGATTGGCCTTTAGTGGAAGAGCACTGAGAAAGGATGAAGACAATTAAATTGGTGGAAGAATTCAGAGGAGATCTCACATGATGCCTTCTCTCTATGAAGTGGCAGTTAGGGTCATTTGCTGAGAATAAAGGAAATTGGGAGAGGGTACATACGATTTTTAGAAAAGTGAAGAATACTGAAAATAGCAACTGTAAAAGAATAGAGAAGAGAGAAAACTAAAGAAACCTCAGAGGCTTGCCAGGCAATTTGGGGGAGCCAACTGAGTTTGCTGTCTTTGATAGTGTAATGTTTTCTTCAGCCGTTCACAGTTAAGAGAAGATAGGCATTTGCTTTAATACATTGACTTCTCTTACTTTAGCGAAAATAATCTTTTCACCGAGGACCAACCCCTTCCTACCCCTAATCTGGATTGTGTACCTTTCTCTGTTCTCCCAGTACCTCAATTTTTCCCTGATTTATATATACCTATCTATAGTGTTTATTTGTGGTAGATCTTTTTATGGTTATTCCACAATGCATAGTATAATACATAGTATCCATATGTTAATTCTACTGAGTTCAAATATCAGTTCTCCCATTGATAAGCTGTTAGACTGCAGGCAAGTAATAATCTTCCTCCGACATTGTTTCTCATCTGTAGAATACTGTAGCACCCTTCTTGCTCAGTTTCCCAGAAAGTTCAACATAATATATATGATATTTTAAAATGGAAGTTTTTACTTTTGTTATTGCGTATAATATGTATTTAGAATTTTGCTTACTCCCACCTTTAGTTTGGATCATTTCTTTCGATTTAGACTTTTCTCTTTCACAAATATGAACTCGGACTTCTGGCTCAAAAAGTCATATTTCGGTAGCTGGGATGCAGTTCCAGTAAAAAGCCCATTACTCTGTTTATCTTCCTACTGTATGTTGATGCCCATTATGTGCAAAGCACAAATTAGATATTTTATACATGCTTTTATCCCATTTGCCTGGACATATAACAT